TTACTGCAAAATCCCCATTCCCTCCCCACTCCTGGGGAAAGTTACTGCAAAATCCCCATTCCCTCCCCACTCCACTAACCTGCTTTCCAGCTCCATTTTCCTGTGCAGGGCAACAAATGAAGACCCAGTCGATCAGCTGAGACTCGAGAGGAAGCAAAGATGTGAGGGCGGGGCCAGCCAGAGGTGGTATTTGCCAGTTCTCCGAACTACTCAAAATTTCTGCCACCGGTTCACCAAAACCAGTCAGAACCGGCTGAATACAACCTCTGCTTCTATTGTCAGGAGGGCTTAAGTAGCAAATGGTCTGGAGGCTGAGTTGGGGAAACCTGCTGTTTAGTTCCTTCTGTTGGACCACTTGATCAATCTTCCCTGCATTCTCCACTTATTTTGTGGCATTCAAATGTAGTAGAGCAGGGATGTCAATCTCGTGGTGTTAAACGGCGTCGACATGTGATTTATCAGGACTTTTCCCCCCTTCGCTAAAAAGAGGGTGCGCATGACGCATCCAGCCTGTGGACCAGGAGTTTGACAGCCCTGTAACAGAGTGTATGTTGAAGTAAGATTTCATTGCCAGTTGCCTTAGCTTCGGTAGGTGAAAGAGAAGGTGAGAGCTGTTAACATTTTCCCTTAAGGCAGCTGGTGTTTTGGATCAGGTTTAGCATGTGCCTGATCACTATATTTCTAATGCTATATAAAACAGTTAAGATTGGAAGGACTGGGAGTATCTGAGTGCATATCATAAATCCAGGCTGCCCATTTTTATTCTTGTCGAAATCAACAACAAAATTCCTTTGATTTTAATGTATTAAGAAAGACATCAAAATCTATAAATCAAGATAACTGAAAAATAATTACAATGTCATTTTCATTAAATAATGGAATATCATGACACTTAGGAAGTGTGCAGTGGTGGGTTCCAGATCCCGTTGCAACCAATAAAGTACAACGGGGCCCGGCATCCACCACATGAACGTACGCAGCACAGGCACACGTGCAGCACGCACATGCATCCTTACTTCCTGCGCTGCTATGCAATGCCTCCGTGACACTCCAGCTGCTCAGCGGAGCGTCACACAGGCACTGTATGCTCCGTGTGTGGAAGCGCCGAAGAGCTTAAATATAGGTAAGGAGCGCGGGTGTGTGGGCCCTCCGAAGCACCGTACCCGAACGATACCCAGTGCTCCTGGCAGGCACCGGTACACACGTACCGGGGCGTACCGGTTGTAACCCACCACTAGAAGTGTGCCTTCACTTGTCACGGTATTTGTCCTATGGGATACCATACCATTTCCCCTACCTTGACTTCCTATGGCCCCAACCTTGCTAACCTTTGTTATTATTATATACTGATTGAATTACTCCAACTACATTGGGCTTTATATACACATATAATTAATACGTATACACACACATACACATTTAGTGTGTATAAATTTAGTGTGTGAAAACAAATATTCACACTATTTTAATTGCAACTCCATTGTGGTATAGATTTATTTATTTATTTGTTTTTTTACATTTATGTGCTCCCCACCTCATCTAGGGGAAAAAAATCAAACAACAAACAAAATTGATTCTACTTTTATTAATGAAACACTTATCCAAAGCCTGGATGGTCATATGTCAGGATTCAGGAGAATTTTTGAATGTTCTAGCATTATATCAAGAGGTTAGATTAGTTCAACTGAGGACAGTTCTAACCTGGATCTCATCAAAATAATAAAAAGAAAGCCTTCTTTTACAAATATTCTCTTATTTACCAGATAGAGTAACTTCTCAGGGAGTGCAAA